CGAATAATTTGGCGGCAAGATAAGAGCAAACCTGACTGCAGTAAAGGTTACCCTCCAATCGTCTGCATTGGCCCGTTTTCTTTAAAAAGATAATTAGTATCCCCCCCAAAAAAAAATCGTTCAACAATGGTGGTAATAGCTAGACATCGGCAATGAAAGTACGTATCCAATTTTCAATTTTGCTGAAGATCGTCATTAAAATGGTTTGCCAAAAGCAGACTGCATAAGCACCTGTGGGGCATAACATTTTTAGTTGCGTATATTCAGCGCATCAGTCACATTACCCTATTAGTCAACATAAATTTGATTAGCGCCAACGTTTTAGCCAGATTAACGATGCTTGATAGAATATTATCTATTTTAATCTACTCGTCAGATTAGATTTCGTACCTACTCACTATACTACTAGTTATTCCTAAAGCTGCTCGCGAATCTTTTTTTCTGAATAGTACTGACAGAGGCGACTGATTCAATAAAAAAAAAACGTCATGTCCCGTTAGAAAATTCAGAACTGTAAATGGACTGCCATGACTAATAAGTCACTGGGTCGGAGACTTTTTAGCGATAATGGAATGAGAAGTGTTGTATTTGTTTAGGTATATGCGCGATGAAAGTATCGAACTGATTCAGGATGGACATTTGTGTGTCTCGCTGTAGATTTCGTGACGCGGATAGAAACTGGCACGATAGGGCGCAGTGCGGCAGGTGCATGCCACGTTGTGAACGAATGGATGAAGCTAACTAACGACCAGTCTGTGTAGCAAGTTGGCATCATAATCGGTGGATCGACACCAACGTTACCGAAATAGGACAGTCTGACATGCTGGTCTGTACGGAGCGATTATATTTTTGTAATAGAGCCAAGAGCCCAAAAGTAACTACACTGAGTTGTAACTACACTGAGGTGTTCAGACATGAAGTTTAATTTTTGTTAGTGTTGTGTATATTTTATTTAACTGATAGCGGCACAGATTTATGTATACACGTTTTGAAACAATCTGAAACGACATTTCAAGGAAGTGAAGATCCGTTGAGATGTCACAATTACATGCACGCATGGATGGACATGGACAACCGATTATAACGTATTCACATGAATCCAATGGGATCCCCTATTAAACTGTCACTGTCTGTACGGACTCGCAATCACGCAGTCTAATACGACCGCGACCTACATTGTCAACGCGTGCAAGTAGCGCTCGTTACTTTGACGTGTGTTTGATAAAGGCAAGAAACAGTTTAAGTATTTAATCTGACAATCAGGCTAAGTTTAGTAGTATTTCTGTATATTTATCGATGTTGGTACGTTGGCTACAAACATCTGTAGATCACTTGTTGACAAAGTTGGTGCTAACTGCGTTATTTGATTGTATTTATATGAAAAGATTGTTTGGATAACTCGGATATAACTTAATTACACTTGACAACTGAGGCATACATAAATTTCCTGAAGTTTAAACAAAACTACACAAAGACGACTGACATTGTTACGCCACTGGCACTTGTTAGAATCACCTTCGATCTGGCTGCTACATTACGCTTTGGCATGCGTAGTCGTTCCGTAATTAAATGTACGCATGGTGCGCTCTCGGCAACAGCGTACTTATTAAGCTGGATTTATTTGTATAGCACATTCTCACGCTAATTTTCCGGTCTCGCGGTATCTCGCGTTATTTCAATGCTATCGTCGGCTTGACCACAAATCTTCTTTTCGGCTACCCTCTCTAACAATGCACCGTAGATATTATTATGTCTGTTTTGTGGGATTATCCTCGATCATAATATTGTTAATATTGTTAATCAGACTAATTAGTCTTCAACTAAAGGTGCGATGAATTACTCAAAAAATGCCTGTAATGAGTTATTTCATTAATACATCCACTGGAAGTAAAATCACAAAGTATCCCGGGGTTTCTTGCCACTTTGCCAATGTTAGTGATTGATGATGAATATCAGTTGTTTGATTTTCTTTGCAATCAATGTATTTGATATTAAAAAATCATTCAAAATTCGTTATTTAAATAGAGAGATATAACATACGTTATTTATAATTCTATTTATAAACAATAAACTGCTTTTTTATCTGGTATACATATATTAATTATAATAGAAATATGCAAATATCGGACAGTGACATGATGGTTCAGATTATATTGATATTTGATGTTGTTGTCGATGTTCAGACATGCCGCAACCCCTACCTGTTCGTCCATTACAGTCATCAAACAATTGGGTTCAGCTGTTCCTTTTCAATTAATGTTGGAAAAGGAGCAGTTGTTTGGTGAATTTATCTGAATTGCACAAGTGAATTCTTAAGTGCTGCTCTTAAATGGCCCAGTTGATGTGAATGTCAGTTTGACGTTAAATCCCATTCAACATCAGTGATTATATGACCGGAGAAGATATCCTTGTCATTTTCACTTGCTTGATGAATAGCTATTTCATCTTTTCACCTTTACTACAAACGAGTTTTTTTTTTATCGGAAGTCCAATATATCGGTTTTAGATTACTATTAAAAATCAATCGATCGTATCTTGAGCTATTAGACCGGGACGTTGGTCGGCTTCTATTAATTGTTGAAGCGAAAAGTCGACTCAACAAATTTCGATGGCGTTTGCCCACATCGGTTTACAAAAACGTAAATTATACTTTCAATTAAACTAATCTTTCTTTCTTTCACACTCCTATATACGGTTAAACTAATCATAATTTCGAGATATTCAAAACCATGTAGTGTTCTTTTGGATTGCGGCAATCTTTTTTTTTTCGATTTAATTTGTAAACGCTAACGTTCAAGGCGATACTAATCAACCATTTCATATATCCGAAGAGCTTAAGATTGTAATTAATTTACTTCAATCGGATAGCCTCCTGTCAGTACGTTACAGTTTGAATAACGTAAATAAATTCACGCGAAATGAAGAGGAAACAGAAATTGCAGAAAAAAAATAAAAAAAGGCACTTGAGGCAACGAGGTCCAATATACTAATATATACAATCAAAACGAACACGTTTAATACTTAAGAAAATGTTTCTTTGGCGTTTCAAGCTTGAAAAGAAGCAAAATGCCGAGATCGCGGTTTTCTTACGAAGTTATCAACTAGTTTGAGAACACACTCGTTTCGACGGGAAGATGAAACAAACTGGAAACCTTTTTTTTTTATATCATACGTTTCAATGCATCACTGAATGTTTTCATAACTACGCTACTTATAAAGCGAAGTGTGCCATTAGAGCTCATCATATTAAATGTAGTATTACGCAATTGAAAAAAAAAATCACCTGAATCTGATAATATAAAACTGCTGGAAACAAGTATCGTTAATATCGGGTTCCGAATTAGCAATGATAAACTGCACAGTGAAACTCGCTGTCGTTGCGGTTTTTCTTTCACTTTCAACGCGATTACTACATTGACATCATTGGGTACAATAACTGTTAATTCCTAGTTTTTCGAGATTCTTAAATCCTTACCACTGACGCTGGTTGTCAGGAAGAAATAATGGAGAAGAGGTGGTTGTAGCATTTATTTTTACAAATACTCAGAAACAAGTTAATTGTGGTCTGCTCAGTCAAGTTTGAAAGCTTAAATCTTGATTAAAGCACACAGCCAAGTAACAATTTAAACGCGAGCGCATGCGTTCTAGCTACCAATGTGTATTGAAAATAATTCACTGGGTATTCAGAAGAAGAGTCACATTTCTAGGACTGATGCTCTGGCATTTCATTGTACAGTGCTTTTTTCATCATTGCGACCTTGTGAGTCAAAACAGAAACACGTTTTGTTGAACATTTATCTCAAACACTTCACGGTCGTCGCGTTGAATTTATTCTCTTTGAAACAGAACATGAAGTATTTTTTTATGTAATATATGTATATATAAATTCGGTAAATATTTATATAATTTGATTGCCTAGACACATGAAGATTTCAATCAAAACAACACAGATGATTACGAAAAAAATCGTTTTTTTTTTTACATTTATAATTTGCGTGTTCAGGCAAACAAAAACCAACCTATTCGCCTTTTTGAGTTGATTGCAATGACTTGTTTCAGGTTGTTTACTCTACATAGAAAGCAGGCTAAATACTATTGAGCATCATGAACTATGTAACGTTGAATGTAGTTTTATCAAACGCAATTATAGCAAATACACACCATATCTATTTTGAGTATTGATGTTTTACTTCATACTCGAGCAAATTACGTTAATATTTAGCAAATATAAACACATCGACCAAGAACACTATAAATATGCTGTGTGCGTGAGAAGGTGAGGGGTGCGCATCCCATGGGGAAACACATCGACCGCTATTTATTGAAATGAATCAATGTTATCAAACTTTGCGGTAACGATCACCTCGTCACGTGAAGGTTCATGAAATTACTTATTTTAATAAACAATAATATATTATTCAAAAATGCGTTCTTCACAGTATAGTCCTTCCCGTATAACTATTAACGTATTTTTCTAAAGCGCCAGGTGACAGTAAAGTGAATAAAAATGAATGAAGAAGACGTAAAACCATACGGTGGTATGCACCGATAACGATCACCTTCTCAGGGAGGTCGGGTAGATATTACTAACGCGCCATTTATCGCATTCCTTTCAATTAAAACGCTCTAATCCGGCTTTGGAAGATCATTATCAGTCAAGCAAACTGATGAAAAATTAACCTTGGCATATTGATAATTGAAAAAAAAAGGATAAACCGCATAGGCGCTGACACATTGACACACTGCAGAGCGAGCTTATTGTCGCGATTAAAACGGACGGAAGCCGTTAATACCGAAATAGGGCCTAGGGATTGTTGCTGTAAAAGGTAGGGAAGTTCTTTCTCGATGAGCGCGGAAATCATCGGGAATACTTGAGATGATACAAAATGACGGAGTTGCATGTGAATCTCATGAGGGAAAGATGCAATCGCCATCACAGGATTCCACATGTGTCAACTAGAACAGGTTATGTGATTACGGAATCTCAAAATTCAACCTACCTGTTCATCGTCAGCTAATACACTACTTTGATATGATGCTATCATCACCAACAGCAAGGCAAGTGTAGTTACGATCTTCATTCTCAAACGAGTTGTTAAATGTGTTGCAGTTCTGGTACAGATGAAATAAACACGCTTCTATCTCTGGTGGATCTCGGGGTCGGGTTCCCGAAGTCGCGCTTGGATTTTTGTTAGTAGAGCTACGATGTTGAATGCGCTTCGGGCTCTCGTTTAACTGTTATCTGCATAGACGCCTGCTCTGACTCGGACTTCAAATGGTTGGCGTGTTTTATAACTAGTGAACGGTGGGAGGAGCCAATGCCACAGCGCTGCTACCTTAGAGGCGCCTTTTTTGAGCTACTCATGGTTGCCTGCGGTAACTTTACGTCGAGCTCGGTAGTCTCGATTTGCTATGGCAACGTGTCCATGCGCCCTCCTGGTCTGACGACGCATACACGTGATGCCACCACTGATGTCGACGTTTGCTACAGCTTGCGCAATTGTCGAATTAACTCCGCGCCGCATCACGTGAAGTCGGAGATCTATCAGCCAATCAAAAGACGGCGCCTTGTATGAGAGGGAACTTCATTAATACGAGAGGCGTTGAAATCGATTTGTTGTTTTCATCAAGGCGTTTCTTAAATCAAAATGAATCTAAGTGGAATGGAAAATCGTGGCAAACAGATATTAATTGCTGAGACGTGCGTTATATCGAAGATACAGTGACAGAGCGCACATGTTGTAACTTAACCTGTACTCGGTTTCGAATTAATCAACCAAAGAGACTAATTCAATGCTTATAGAGGGAATTACGGAAATGGTATCCCGAGGGTACTCTAATCTTCATGTGACATAAACTCTCTCGTACGCTAAATACACAATTCTTCATAATAACTTTGAATTCTAATCATTAAATTGGTAATTTACCTCAAAACCCAAGGCACTCCCCGCCCATGTATTTATGGAGTATATCTCTCACAATGTGTATCTATTTCCATTATTAGTTTGTTTTTACCTAGTAAAATCCGTTTTAATTTAATACACGTGGAGCTGTTGTTCTTTCTGTGTGCCCCACCCCGCGGTCATGCTGAGAATAGGGAGAGAGCAAATAGTTGGTGTATCTGTTCAGATCGTTCGCAACGCCGACCGTAAAACGTTGGTGCCATAAACCGATTACATGCACAAGTCAAACGTGACATTTTCAATTCCTACGTAAAAACCTGTTGAGCTTCGTGTTTTTTTTTTTCAGCTGAGGTGAGGCAACTATTTTGTTTGTTAATTTACAAACTAGACGGGAATTGTGATTATCACCAACTTTTATATTAGGTTGTACACTTTCTTAAGTTGGTAAATATGTTCACGCGAGAAATCAGCATTACGCGTTTATTTTAAAGGATAAGATTACATTGGATACTTCAAATATGTTGTCTACATAACTATTTATTGGAAAACACGACATTTCACGCATTAAATTACTACATGATTTCAATACTCTTTGTATACAATGCACTTTCGAACATGCCCCTTCTATTGAGAAATTGTCACACTCGCTGCTAGTGTGTTCGTCTCCTATCACTCAATGACGAAATAGGGTTATCTTCCCCTCCCCCTCAGAGCTGATTGATAGTTTATGCCTTCAAACTATCGATCTCGTATATTATTTTGTCGACACCTCAATGTACTCACACGATCACAGGCATACTTGTTAAAAGAATAACGAATTTCTGCGGTTGGCAAGATTATTCCTCTCTCCGTGTCGCCAGGCCCATCATTTCAATAACTGATCTCTCTCTTAATATGTCTCTCCCTCTAAAATTGTTTTCTGTCCACAAGTAATCCATGTCATTCTCGCCACCTATCTGTGTTTGTGATACTTTTTAAAACAATTCCAATTTCAACTTAAAAAAGTACCGTGTTTGCTGAGGCCTTGCTATAATACACGCTTTACTCACTGGACCGAATATTCGCATCATACGGCTTCATCCGATATAATTAAATTTTCCATAAAAAACATCACTATTTAGTAGCTTCATCGTGTCTTCAATGAGTGTTGATATACTTATGCTCTGCGGGTGGCGGTTCCTCATTAAACCAAGTCCAGCCCTTCAATCGTTTTACTTTCCAGTTCAATTGATTTAGTTTTACAAAATCTCCCATTAACTCCCATTGATTGATTTGCGTATATATTCATATTTTTTAAAAGGCTGAATCGGGTCATGGGACATTACAGATGCAATATGAACGAAAACATATACTTTTTAACATTGTTGTTTTATTCCGTATGCTGGCAAATAAATTGGACTATGATTAAATTATCATGAACTGAAAAATCCGTCTCTGTATTGAACGTTTGAGTTTTCGTTAGATGAAATAATAAAATTCGATAATTCTCATGTGCAACTGTTGCACCTCGTGTTTTGGTACATACAAAGACAGGCACCACACATTTTTTTTTACCGAATAATAAAATATTGATGCCTGTTCTGCAAAAACAACATGTTTTGTATGGGAGAAAATAAATAAATGAGTAATAATAATGCAGAAAATAAAACTAGTTTAATTGTGTCTAAAGTATCAAGTATCGAACAACAGTATTATAAAATATATGTTTTCGCCAAATTTACATCTTTAAATATATAATTACGTTTTAAGTCGTTTTAATTCGACGATGGTGGAGTGTATTTTTGGTGACAATTGTACAGGAACGTTATAGCAAGATTAGAGAAACATTCTAGTTCATGTTAAGATGTATATACCGTTTAGGTTTAAGTACCGTGCATAACCGTTGAAACACGTCTTTACATACCGCACTAATAATAAACATGTTCCATTTCACTGGTTTAGATGTATTTATATTAAGTTGAATGCCACAATTATTTTAGATTTATTTTAAAATAAATGCCATAGCAATACATGCGTTACTACTGACGCATTTCATTAACATTTCAATAGCAATAATTTTAGACCAGGTTTGGTGCTTGTGATGCTACTTATTCAAAATCATACGAATCGTCAATTTTTATGAAACACCAATAATTACAGCGAATGTGACAAATTCGTCACGCTAGTTCAATCTAAGTTCAGAAAGTTACCCGTATATATAAATCGTGTCGGTTTGTATTTGTTCTAATATCATTCATACGGTTGCGTAAAGTCGAAGGTTCAATCACGACTGTACACATGTATTACATCAGTATATCAACTTCTTGAAAACGTCGCTGTGATTGGCCAACCTACGTCATGTGACCAATGCTGAAGGGCACTGGCGTATTGCTTGAATTCATGTTAATGTAAACAAAGAGAAGGCACGTCGAGCATCCATTCTCGTCAGCACCGCAAACTACTGTTTTTAGCTATTTGATCTCATCCGTTGTGTTTTGTTTGTTTGTCTGGATGGCTGACATGCTCAAAAATACTTACCCACAATGCATTTATAACTAATTTTCAGAAACGTAATGATAATTGGACACAAACCCATGACGTTCCAGCTAGCATTAAACAATACTTATAACAAAAAGTTGTAAAGTTGTAAACAGAATAAGTTATTCCTAGTCTCTGATCCCACTTGCATTTCTGTTTTTTGCTGGTAGCAGTATCCTTGGTGGTATATCAAATTATCAACAACAATTATAAAAAAATTACCCAAGCTTTTTATAACACCTTAAAATTTGTTTTCAATCATATGCTCTGTATTGCATTTCGATATTAGACCGACTCCGGTAAAACCGACGCATTCAGATATGCTAAACACGGCTAATCTATTGGGAGTAAAATCATGTTTTTTTAAGAAACACGATCTTTACGAAAACAGAAATCCATGAGATCAATTGGTGTTACATTTTCATTTACTATTGTTAAAATAATACCAGCAATTTTAAATGTCAAGCTCTGTCTACTTCCCGACATAAATGGTTCACAATACAGCTAAAATCTGGGAAAAAAAGAAGAGTTTTGTTCTGTTATGATTCATGATTCTAATTCTCCCAGCATAAATATGCAAATGAGGTCCCGCGCTTGAGTCATCAGACGCATGATATTACATGTAAACACATACAATTCTAGTTTTGATGACATCATCGTAGCTTTTTTAAACGTTGCCTTGATTCATGTAGGAAAGAGTATTACTTATTAACAGGTAAATTAATCTGCTGCGATACATGATTCCAATTTCCCAAACATTAATATGCAAATTAGGTCGCACGCGCGAGACTGTAGACGCGAACTCATATAATTCTAGCCTTGGTCACATCAACGCAGCCTCTCAAAACCAAAACTTTGCTTTGGTTTATGTACAGTCGTGTATTGCCTACCAAAAGTATATAAGTACATAGGAAGAGTTTAGTAAAGCTGTGATTCATGGTTGCAATTCTCCCAACATGGATATGCAAATTATGTCGCGCGCGTGAGACTCCAGATGTAAATACATGAAAATATAAGATATGAATATGTGAGATCAAAGTTGGAATCGTTCTTTCAAAAAAAAAATACTTTTAACAGATTGTTCACAACATTGTTTTTTTATATATGTCACCTCAAACCCTACAAATATAAGTGTTAGAATCTACCAGGTGTACTTGTGATTTACATGAAGGATGTTTACGGTCTACTGATTTGCCTACGTGAAACAGCTGCTAACATGACCACATTCTGATTGGCTCATGTGGAAACCCAGGTGGTGTACACGAATTTGGGCCATTTATGCCTATAAATAGGTTAGACTGAGGGCAGTCGCGGTCCACCATTTCAACTGAGAACCCAGTGTGTTGCTGCTGCAATATTGTGAGACAAGTGATACAGGCTTCAATCATCATTCTGTGAAACTTTTATGAACTGCTGTGCGATCTCCTGCTATCAGCGGTGCCCTCCAGAATAACAGCGTTCCTCTGCAAGCAAGACTCCTTCCTGTATTTCTTCGTTGTTGTTGTGTTGCAGAAGCCAATGACTGTCATCATTTTCGACGTCTCGGAATTGTGAGTTATCACCAATGCACACTTCCCTAAGCAATTCCCTATTTTAGTGACTTTATTCATTGTATTTTTCTGTGCTTTGTTTTTTTGTAATTATTTTGAGGGGTATTAAAGCCATAAGCTTTAACTCGATATTTTGGTGTATGTGTATTTCATTTCCAGTAAGTACTATTGTCATGTCTACCCCATTTTAGCAGAGAGAAAACCCCCTGTCCAGTGCGAGTTCTGTGGGTGGCCCTCTCAATTGCGATAGGCAGGATTTACACTGTGAAAAAAATTTATCTCTGA